GTCGAATAGTTGATTGATATTTATAGAATACAGTTACTCCTGTATTTAGATAAATGGCATGGGATTTTTATAAAGGGACCAAAAATGTTTTCTAGTTTATATTTTGGGACATATAGATATCGAGTTTTGCACTCGCCATATAGTATATATTTGTATAGATTGGTGATATGTTAATATGTTGGCCACATTTTTAACATTCACTACGTTATGTATTTAGTTCGTACTGCTCGAGTAAGGATTCTCTTGAGTACATATAGTCTTTGGTATAAAGTACCCGAAATATACAGGGTGTATATAGTTTGAAATTTACATTTCTGTCTTGAGTTTAGGCGTGACGATAATTTAGTTAGAAGAACTTAGATTTAATTTGATTTATTTGTACAAAAAATTCTTAAATTGTTGTTTGTATTGTATGTATTTAATGTAACACACTTTGCCTCCGTGTATTGTATTTTTTCTAACTTTAGTATTTTTATGAATTCTTATATGTTTGTTATTTACTCTGACCTGCTACAATTATACATTGTATAAATACGTAGTCAATAAAGATTTATTTATTATTTATTTATCCTTATGTGGCACAAGGAAGCCTTTGTACACAATTTCACTTGCAGAAAAAGAGACTGCTTGTTTCGCGCTAAATCCTGTGCAAAAATATAAATATATTTAAGTTTGTTGATGGCATCGGGTGATTGTAGAGATCAAAATAATATGAGCCAAGTCAAGCCTTCAAAAGTAGGTATTCCATTAGATATGCTGATATTTTGAATTAAACAAATTTATTTGGATCTCAATAAAACTCATTTATCAGGGAGGGTGTTTGATAAACTGATTAGTGTGCAGTGGACCTGGATCTGGATGATAATGGGTTGCTGTAGGATTTGGTAACCGCTGTCTCTACAGATGTCGATATCGAACGAACGGAAGACCATGAGAGTGTTAATGGCTTGTGTAATTGTTAATGGGGCTCAAACTCCATAGAACCACAATTATTGAAGTGCGTGTTTTCCAAAGCAAAACCGCCAAAAACAATATAGAACAGAAAAGCATTAGAAATATGTTTATATGACGAGTGTCCAGTGTTTGCCGATTTGTTGGAACACGAATTCGACTTAAAAATTCGATACCGGAAGACCGAGGTGTCTTTCAACAGCTTTGCTATATTACAAATTGGTGTAGTGCGGTTTCATTTTGAAGAGGCGCCATCGGCAAATCACATTTATGCGTTTCATAAGGCGACATTTCAGTATACGGGGCCTTTTAAGCTCCTTTGTAATAGTGTGCGTGTAGATGCAAAAAGTGAATGCTATAGTCGGCGCTTCGGCTCAGAGACGGGTTCGTTGGCAATCTGGCAAAACGGCAAGAAAGATATGAGCTTAAACCTATTTTTTCGATCGAGTGTTGACGTGCGTGCAAATTATAAAATGTGCGTGACACTATCCTTGCGCAGTTGTTTTTTTTATTCGATTGACAATACAGGCAAATATCCGACGCGACGCACTGTTCTGTAGAAAAAACACATTCGCCGGCATCATACCAAACAGACGCGGCCGAGCTGTTCTTTTTATATGTGAACGCGACAGTCCAGTCGTTCAATATGGATTGTAACTGTCGGCTGGCGAACACTGTGAAATCCATACAAATTCCATATGATCTACACAATGCAAGCTTTTCTTCGACGATATCCAACTGTATGCCCCAACACAATCACAAATGAAAACACTCCTGAAGTTAAAAAGTACGGAAACAATCAAAATGATGACAACTAGCGAAAAAATTGAAGTTTTTACAGAACCTGTTCTCGATAATTCTATTGTTAGCTTGCAAGAATACACGTATAAACCATACGGATCTCCAAAATTTCAAAATTCCGACGAAATTCGAATTCCAGTTCATTTTCAGGATATTATTTTGGACATATCCGAAAGTTATATCTACATTGAGGGCACATTTGAGACTACCGACGGCGACGTAACTAAAAAATGTTATTTATCCAACAATACACTGGGTTTCCTTTTCGATGAAACCTGAGATAACTACAGCTTTAAAAACGATGGTTTCCTTTGGTGCCGCACATACCAAACCGCTTCTAACATGTGGCTGGGGTCTCAACGAAAAGAAACAAGGTATTTTAGATCTCTCCAGCAATTTTATTTGGGTAAATTACCTTTAAATTATTTAATGGGTTTTGCCGCAGATTACACAAAGGGAATTTTTAATGTAAAGCAGGAATTGGTTATAATAATCGCTTGTACCTTTAGCAATTGCTATATTGGCGAAGTGGAATCTAATATAAACATTAATAAAATTGAGTGAAAAATTCGCCATATAATCGCAGAAGATCGATAAAAACTTAAAATAGGTATTTTCCCGTATAGTATAAATAAGGTTGGTAATAGTGCAAATATTAACATGACTTATCGCATGTGGGACCTTTATGAACTTCCTACTCTGCGAGAAACTTCATCAGATGTTTGGGCCATTAGAACTAGCACAAGTTTGGAGAAACGTCGTTATATTGTCATCAGATTTCAAGATAATAATAATTCGGAAAATTTTAAGAATAATGCAGCCCAGTTTATTTCTGCCAACGTTAGTGATATTAGACTGTATCTTAACTCAGCTGTTTTCCCTTACGAGAGATGGAACCTTGATTTTATAAAAAAAACTGTATGGTGCAGCCTATTACATTTATGAAAATTTCCAAAGAAGCTATTATGGACGCGAATTTAATGATCCTATGATGCATTTCGGTGAATACAGTAAAAATCCTATATTCCTTATCGACTGCTCTCACCAGACAGAAAATGTGAAATCTTCAACCGTAGATGTGAAAATTGAGTTCCAAACACGGGATAATAAATTTCCAAAAGACACAAAAGTATACGCCTTGATAATACGTGACTCAATCATTAATTGAAGACACGAGTGGATAAAGGTGTCGTCTGCCAAAAAAATGTTTTGGAGTAAAATCAATTTAAAATTTCTTGATTAATTTTTAGTGTTCCCAAACCAAACTCTTTTGTTATTTTAAATATCAATGTGAATTTTGGTATTGAGTTGGAAACGCTATTCATATATCTTTGTAAAACGCTATTTTTCAGAAAACTAAATAATATCTCATGTTTAAACATGTTTAATGGCATATGACACTTATCCATCGAAATAGAAAATATAAAAAAATAAATAAAAGTGTGTCAAGTAAAGAACTTTAATATTACATAATATTATGATATAAAAAATATCTTATCTTTTATATAAAATATGTTAATAATATACGTTATACAGTTTTTCTAGATGTTTTTTTAACTTTAGGATTTGTTTCATTTTCTTCCAGGATCTTTTCATAATACCATTTATATTCATCTTTTACATATTGTAGTTGAGCACGTTAATTATTTTGTTTTTCGGAAGCCAAACCACCTCTTATTTCGGAAATCTATGTAACTTAATTTCATCTGCTCTTGTCAATGTTTTGGCTCCGGTTTTAAGAAGCTCAACTTTGTGGAATGGCGAAAACTCATCAAGATTATTTTTATACCAGAAGCTTCCAAACTCGTCAACTTTAATCCACTTAACATTATCTCTAAAGTTAAGCTTTTCTTTTAACATGTTAGTTTTTCTGTTAACTAACTTTAATTTCAACGTAAGTTCATCAAAATTATAAAAGTAGTTTTCCATGTTTATCGTCATAGCATTTCTGTACTTCAGACTTTATAATGTTACTATATTGCTCTATGTTACTATATTATCTCTAAAGTTAAGCTTTTCTTTTAACGTGTTAGTTTTTCTGTTAACTAACTTTAATTTCAACGTAAGTTCATCAAAATTATAAAAGTAGTTTTCCATGTTTATCGTCATAGCATTTCTGTACTTCAGACTTTATAATGTTACTATATTGCTCAGGTACATAGATGTTTTCATGTTTACGATTTTTTTTTCAATTCTCCCAAAGTCTCTGTCTGAATCTAAATAGATGTGACCAACCTCGGGAAGTTTATGCTCGATAATATCTTATGTTCCATTTAAAAGTCAGAGTTGATATAGGCAATTGATATTAAAATTTTTGTTCTGACCTGCGCAAGAATCAGACCAAATAATAAAATGGGTCATATCTTCATTCTTGTCTTTACGTAAATGGCAGAATCACATATACTACACGTGTCACTTCTTTGCGTCCCAAATGATAAGTTAAACTTGGTGCAAAAGATCTTATTATAGGATGCAAGCTTTACCATAAATTTATCTTCTAAATTTTTAGATTTACAATCTTCAATGTAGAGCTTATGCATTTGACATACATTTAATAAAGCAGAAAGATATTTTTTATGGCAGTTCATATTTCGGGAATAATGCGATTCGTCATCAGGAAATTGTTGAATGTGGTTAGTGATGGCATCTACTACATCTTCTGGGATCTTGTGGGCACAGTTGGTGTGTTGAAACACTCTCCCTTTTTTAGCTTTCTCTAAATAATTTCAATTTTGTTGCGACTAAACTGATAGATAGAGCATAGGGCATTTGGGCAGATTATCTCTGTTTTCTGATTGTATGAATAGATTAGGTAAAGGAGATTTTTTTTGTCTTTTCATTATCGTTGTTAGATTTCGTTTAACAGGCCTAATGCTTATGCTGTTAAATAACAAGGCATTTTTGGAGTTTACAGCTAGAGAGTAATACTTTTTTAAGATAGCCTCTCTGGCTTCCAAATTAAATTTATTTGTACATTTAAGTCGACACTTCTCCTTACAAAGGAGACATTTACATTTCTTCGTTAATTTTTTTCCTCGGCATAAGTTTACCCTCCTGAAATACCTGAATTACCCTGGTTTGAAAGGAAAAGAAAGCGAGGTGAAGATCAAAGGCCGATTCTTTTCGCTTATGTCTTGGAGATTGAGGGAATATTTTGTTGTGACTGAGTACCTAATAAAAACGTTTTATGTTCCCCTATTTAAAGGTCTCACGATGGCAGTGGAGTAACACCTGTCATAAAAAAATTGATGGATAACTCTACCGGACAAGGATTTGACTCTTATGAACATATATGTGTTGCAAACCATATAGACTACACTAAGTGGAATAACCATCAAAGACATGCTGCTAATAGTCCAGTTTTCAAAGTAATGGGCCAATTCCTCGGATACCCTAATTTAATTTCAAGAACACATTCTTTTTTTGAGAATAGTCTCATTTATTATAACGGTCGACCAGATCTTCTGTCCGTCTCAGGTGATACATTAATCAATAAAGGTGAACAAACTGTAACATGGAACGGACAAGCTGGAGGTCTTGAAGGATTAAGGCAAAAAGGTTGGAGTGTCGTAAACCTTTTAGTCATTCGTCGAGAATCATTAAATAGAAATACAAAGATTAAGATATTGGCTCAGGGTGACAATCAAGTAATTTGTACACAATATAAGGTGAGACCAACAAGGGAACCCTCAGAACTTCTTATTGAACTAACTAATATTGTAAATAACAATAATGACATTATGCGACATATATTTGAAGGTACAAAAAAGTTAGGGCTCATTATAAACAAAGATGAAGCTCTTCAAACAACTGATTTTTTAATTTATGGTAAGATTCCTATTTACCGGGGGAATATTAAGGGTTTAGAAACTAAGAGGTGGTCCAGAGTTACTTGTGTCACCAATGATCAACTTCCTACATTGGCGAATACTTTATCAACTATCAGCACAACTAACGCATTAACAATAGCTCATTTCTCGACGAGTCCGAGTAATGCTATAGTTCATTACAACTTTTTAGGAAATTTTGGCAGAAATTTGTTGAACTTGCACAATCCAGCCCTTCGTTCTGCTCCATCACATAATATAAAAGTCCCGATCTTCTAGACTCAGTGGAATTCAAAATTGCAGTACTTTATTTAGACCCCTGCTTGGGAGGAGCCTATGGTATGTCCTTGACGAGATTTCTAATAAGAAATTTCCCTGACCCTCTGACTGAGAGTTTATCCTTTTGGAAGACTGTGAGTAACAGTTGTCCACCTTGGTTGGACGCTTTTATTGCAAAGGTAGAACATCCCAGATTGAGAAGACAAAACTTAACCTCCTTCAAAAAGCTGTTAGAAGATCCAATGTCAATTAACCTTCCGGGAGGTTTAAATCCACTAACCCTTATCAAGGACGAAATCAAGAAGAATCTGATAAAAAAAGTCTCATGAAGTTAAAAACCAGTTGGTGAGATCATCTAATGATTATTTCGCTGACCAGGAGGACCGACTTGTGGAATACTTAAAATCAATAAAACCTTTATTTCCGAGATTTTTCAGCGAATATATTTCGGGAACTTATATTGGAATCATTCGAAGCCTAATAGGACTGTTCCAAAATTCGAAAACCATTAGAAATGTATTTTCTCGAAAAATGGAAGCCTTTATTCATGTGATCATCACACGGAGTGAAATCTACACATTGGAGTCCCTTTGCCGATTAGGGCTTAATGATCCTCATCATCAAATTTGGACATGTTCATCAGAACATACAGATTAACTCAGATTGCTGTCCTGGGGAGCTAGAGTTTATGGTGCAACTGTTCCCCATCCCTTGAAACTACTATCAAATATAGTGAAGCAAGACGGTTTCTGCCGGGGGTGTGAAGAGCCATTCCCTCGAAACCTCTACATTTCTACTTTAGTGCCTAAGGGATTGGATCATTATCAACATTCCAGAGGACCATACAAGGCCTATTTAGGTTCTAAGACTTCAGAAAGTACGGCAATATTGCAACCATGGGAAAAAGAGACAAAGGTTCCGCTCTTAAAAAGAGCCTCAAAACTCAGAAATTCAATCGGGTGGTTTATAAATAGAGATAGTAATTTAGCTCAAAGTCTTCTTCAAAATTTAACAGCTTTGACAGGAGAGGACCGGTTGGTGCAAACAGAGGGCTACAAGAGGACAGGCTCGGCTTTACACCGTTTTCTTGCTCTCGACAAAGTTCCGCTGGGTATGCGGCTCAAAGTCCAGCAAAATTGACATGGATGTGTTCAACAACTGACACACTCAGCACACTCAACACCGTGAATTATGATTTTATGCATCAATCATTATTTATTTATGCTCAAGCTACCATTTCAGAATTAATGGATAAAGTAACCAATCAAGGATATTTCCATAGTCACATTTCATGAAACAGGTATTTACGGGAAATTGAGGAGATTGAATTAGATACCGTTGTCCATTTTGAGCATCCTGAAGTGCATGAACTGTTAGAAAAATGGAAACCAGAGACGACAGAATGGTCAGACAAGAGGATTACACATTCAGTGAAAGGAGGAAATTGGTCAAATGAATCACCTCAAGACAAGTTTTCATGTTTTGACTAACATGTCTTTTCATGTTGGACTAACATGATTAAGTAAAATAAATAAATAATAAGGGTTTATGTACTTTTTTATTTGTGAGTAGAGCAAGTACACGATAAAGTGAAATATAGCATAAAAATAACTAAGCAATACCATTAAGAATTGCCATATCTGCCCTCTTTTAGATCTCAATCAAGCTTCAAGCAAAAAGATTTCTCCTTACAAGTATTCCCTGTCATTATTTTACCAGAGTATAAAAGTTATGATTTATATATTATGATTTATTTAAATAAGACAAACACTGTTTTATATATTTTTCTTTATTAAATTAAATATATATTTGTTTTCCAAAACTGCATAGATCTTTGGATTATAGGCAATAAAAAAATTTCATCATACTCTACATTTATCAGTTTCACTTCACTATTTTGTTCAAATGCCGGATCGGCAATACAAAACACTCCACTTTTTTTGTTCATCAAAAACATTTGTAGTTGTATTTGTGCCAGATATTTATTCGTTATCACACCATTCACAATATAATTTGAGAGAGTTTTCTCAGATGATGGACACTTTATTTCTATAACGATGTCACTGTTATAAGCATCAGGTGATGCTCCGAGTATGGGGACAATTGGGGATAACATCAGACCTCCACGTACAAGCTTCGTGTTCAGTTTTTTTTCTACTATTCTAAGAACGCTATTTTCTAATTCTCTACCCCTTCTCATGGCAGGTGAGTCATATGTCTTTGCAGCTCCAATAATTGTTTCGACTAAGCTCCCTTCCACGGTTCTGCACCTAGATGCTTCAAATATCTTGAAAGCAGTTATTCTACTATATTTCAAATCACGCCACAAACTACACTCACTTTGTTCTTGTGGTTTATTAAAGGCTTCATTGCACAATAACGGTGACATTTTCGAAAATGCATATTTAATAAACGCATCGATTGTTTGTTCGCTCTCATTTTTAAATGAACATAAAAGCTGGCGAATGCCTAAATTTAAATGTTTGTCTTCTTGAAAATATTGCCGAAGTTGACAAGGGGCTCCACATTCATTGGCTTTTTCAATGAACTTCTCCAAAAACCCACTATTTTCAGAATCTACTGTCTCTTGTTTCGCATCTTTGGCAAAGTCTTGTATCGTTACATATTGCAAAGATGTACCGACACCTGACAACTTTGTTTTTTTCCAGTAAGAAACAACATCGGTTGGACTGGGTTCCTCACTTCTTCGATGGACCCACATTATGAATGCAATTGCTTGTTTGCATCCACCTAATTCGCATAATAATCTATTATAAATTACCTTCTGAATCTGCACAGTCCTGGCATTCAGCTTTCAAAATCTTTTCGGAGTCTTCATTAACTTCCATGATGACAATGTAGTCTTTAGAGCGGACTCTATGTTCAAGACATATTTTGCATTTTATTGTGCAAATATTATTGTCTCGTTTTAATTCCACATACCCAACTGCAGAATCTCCATAGCTCTCTCTTTGGGCCCTGAAATAGTAAAAATTAAAATGTAGATAAATCTCTTTTGGAAACACAACCAAACTTTGCTTCCACAGTGTGATTATTGAACGTTTATATATTTATGCGGCAAATTGATATATGGAAAAGGAGGAAAAATAAACTGTTTCACTATCAAAAGAAAGAAACATATAGTTTACCAACCTTTTAGCTTTAACGCCATGTTGTTCGGCAGATGTAAACAACTCATTCTGAGAAAAAAACTCGGTCACCATCAACGAGTCCACCAAAGGCAGATTATCAGAACTTGCTTTTAAAAAACCAATGAAAATTAATTTTATTTTTCAGAAACTATTAAAGACAGAGTTTACCAAAAATGCTTTTTATAACTACTAGTGGGTAAATGAATTTCTAGATATATTACGAATTTTTTTGGAACTTTAGTTTCTGAGATATAAATTTAATCGGACCTTTTTAAAAAAATTAATTTTATTTTTCAGAAACTATTAGAGTCAGAGTTTACCGAAATTACTCTTTATAACTACTAGTGGGTAAATGAATTTCTAGATATATTACGAATTTTTTTGGAACTTTAGTTTCGGAGATATAAATTTAATCGGACCTTTTTAAAAAAAATTATTTTATTTTTCGGAAACTATTAGAGACAGAGTTTACCAAAAATGTTTTTTATAACTACCAGTGGGTAAATGAATTTCTAGATTTATTACGAATTTTTTTGGAACTTTAGTTTCGGAGATATTGATAATAATTAAATACAACTTTAGCACTCCACAAACCTCGAATTAAAATTTAAAAAAGCAGACAACGACCAGCACACGGCGACGATCAACGTAAAATAGCACAGTAAAACATGGCGGCGTTAGGGAAATACTGCAGCGTGACGTCACAACCAATGGGGTAGCGTTTTCGTATGACGTCAAATTTAAAGGCCCCTGGCGAAGTTTATAATCGAAATTATAAAATAATTTGCAATGCTTTTTGAAAATATCATCGTGGGGGTGCTATTAGTGGTATTTATGAAGGTGTTTAAGTAGTTTTCAGGTGAAAATTAAAGTATGTGCAAGGGGCCCATTAGCTTAGTAACGAGTAACGAGTCCTAAATTCAAATAGTAAGCGTTACTTGGAGTCCTCGTAAAGTAACTGTTACTTTGCAACGATTACTTAGAATTTTTACATCACTACTGCGTATTGAAAGAAGATCCTATATTTTTATTAGTCCTTTAAATTCTAGTATTGAATATAAACCGACCGAGTCTCCATAGCTCAGCGCGTAGAGGTTCTGCCTATCAAGCGAGGGGTCAGAGTTCGAATCCGAGTGCAAAAACTTTTTATTTTATTTTCGTTTATATTCTGATAGTAAAGTATTAAATATTTGTTTTTTTGAATCGCCGGAATTATTTAATACTTTACTATCAGAATATAAACGAAAATAAAATAAAAAAGTTTGCCTTGACCCGGATTCGAACTCTGAATCCTCGGTTCGTAGTCGGAAACTCTACGCACTGCGCTATGGAGGCATGTTCGATTTATATTCAATATTAGAATTTATAGGACTAAATTAAAAAAAATATATATAGGATATTCTTCCGATGTGTAGTAGTGAACGCAACGGGTATCGGCAGCCAGACGGGCCGCATGCTGTTCCAGAGAACATAGTAAAAGATATATCAAAGAGCCAGACGTCTTAAAATACTTTCTCGAAAACGTTGCCAGCTCTTAGACTATAATATCTACATAATAATATGTATAATACAGTATTATACATATAGGCATAGAAGTAAAACTTTTTGTGCTGAAGCGATAGGTGTGCAAGCAGAACGTATAGTGAGGCTCGCATATACGTCTGAAGCACAAAAAGTCACTTCTATGCCGATGCCGAATGCAACGTGCTATTTTTTCTTCAGACTAGTTCAAACACTGTAATTTATGCTGTTTATTTTTTACTATCCGGTTTTCCGAAACTGAAATGGATAAAGGTGTCATATAGCGTAAATCTCAAATATTTGAATGGATTAAGGTGTCATGTTACA